CGCTTTCAATAAAAGAATTTGGGTGGAATCTAACAATACGACAAATCACAGAAGTAGTTTGAAGTGTGAAGAAAGAAGAAAGTGTTTCTGGTCAGACAGCCTCTTCCACCCCAAACTGGGAAAGGCATTTCTTTATGGAGCTGGTTTCCATGTGTTCAAACAGGAGAGGGAGGAATGCTGACACAAAGCTGGAAGACCACTGTTGTCTACTTTGAAAAATGTTCCAGCGTTAAGTTTCTCTTCAGTGGGAGCAAGAGACCTGGAAGAAAAGTGCTGTGAAGAATGTGGACGGGCTGTGATGGTGTGAGGACACTGGGTGGTGCCATTGCTGAACATTTCCTCTTCCTCTGGCAGTGGGGAGAACAGCTGGAGGAGATCAGAAGCAGCTGCCATCTCACACTCCTGCCAGATGTGATCTTAACAGGAAGCCATGTTAGTTTCTCCTGGAACCACATCAGTCTGTAGCTGCTCTGTGGTTGCTTTGTCTCCTTCCTGGTCTCTGTGGGACGACTGTCAGCGCTAAATGCTCCTCTGTGTGTAGAGGCTGAGCACTGTCTGCACATTTTCATTTCACCCCAACTGGTCAAGGCAGAAGGCCGCCCACCAAGAGCCCGGTTCACTCAGAGATTTCCTCCCCGCTGTGGCCGAGTGCTGCTTGGGGGGATTTGTTGGTTTCCCTCTAACACTGAGCTCTAGACCTGATTATGTAACGCGTCTTGGTGTGTGTTTTTACCTATTGTAGTACTTTCCATCCCTGTTGAACTCATCGGAGCAAAAGCAGATGATGCAAAAGAAGATAATTAACTGGCACCTTTACAGTCACTGTGTTCTAGATTAACTGGAGACTTCACTCAGAAACACAGACACAAACGAAAACTCTGCAGGCACCAACTTCTTTTTTGAAACAGCTTTTATGTATTCGTCATCGTTGTGATGAAATAGACAGATTGCAATCCAGTAGAATTGTACACAACAAACATTAGTGACAGACAATACCGAGGTTGTTCTCCATGCGATAGACTGAGCCCGCGGTTGTTCCTTCTCTATGCTTTCTTCTGAGGCATGGAGGCAATAACCAGCCAGTACAGAGAGTAGCAGGTTCCTGTAGAGAACACAACAGATACTGAGATGGGAAGCAATGAGGTACAAATGACTTAAGTAGGTTATTCAGGTATCTCTACTTGAGTATTTATTTTTCTGACAACTTTTTAAGTTGACTCTAGATTTGACAAATATCAGTCATCTGGCCCGGTGAAATCTCAGTGAGCTACCACGTCTGTCCACAGCGCAGGAGTTGGGACGTATTTAGGATTCTGCCAGTATTTCTACCCTTGAGCATCTCTTCAGACCAAACAGATAAATTGCTTCTTATAGTCTGAGCATGTTACCTGCGATGGTCAGCGTCATGGTTGCCCGGTACAGCAGCATGTCAGCAAGTCCTCCTTTGATGTGGACCGGCAACCCGTTGTCCTCCTGTAACCGTGAAGACATCCTGGTTACCACAGTGTTGGCACAGAGGTGCAGCGGTACATTTACACAGATACACAGTGTGTGCACACCTCCTGTATCCACGGGCACGTATGTGCAGACAGTCATTATTGTGTAATCTCTGGTGTTGCGGGCACTTTGTAATCCAGGTGGTAATTTACAGCGTCAATACTGTAAAGCAGTAAAATACCGGCTGGTTCTTACTGTAGGTGCAGTGGGACGGAGCAGGGCCATGAGAAACTAGACATTAGAGGAAGGTAAACTCTAAATATGACTGGAACCAGGGTACTACTGGAAGCCTTCAGTACTATCCAGGTCCTTTTGCACACTGCTCTGCTCTGATCCTGGGTGCATGTGACTTTCCAACGTTCCCCTGCACATGACAGAACAACGTATCTGGATCAACCAGAGCGGTTTGGAGTGTTTGGAGTCTGCTGAAGTAAACGCCCTCCCCACCCAGCTCCGAACAGTCACTCTCTGTGTGTGGGACCTGCCTCTACTGACCTCTGACCTGGAACAGATGACTGTCATGGGGGTATTACACATGTTTTCTGTGCAGTCTGACTGGAATTTAACTAATTTCCTGAAGCTGCTTTTATGTTTTGTTTTGTTTTGTTTTTTTTTTTGGTTCTCCCCCGCAGCAGTTTCTGGACCTGTCGCTTCCTGTTGCGGTGGAATCACCACTGCCACATTCCACAGAAAGCTGTAAGATGAAGGGTTGGAGTGTCTGGATATTGTTAGTATGAGCGGAGCCAAATTACTGTTAACTTGTGTAGACTGTTTCTGAAGACTGCAGATGGTAAAAACCTGCTCCACAAATGTTTCAGTCACTGACACATAGCATCATCATAACTTGCCAGATCATTTGTGCAGGCTGAATGCTGTGCACCATTGGAGCCTAATGTCAACAATAAAATCATACAGGTCTATAGATGAGCTGTGGACACGGGGCCTCTGGGTCACTGGCTTTAGTTCACATAGTGGGTTAGTGGTTTAAATGCCCTGACGTGTTAAACTGACCAAAACCCAGTGAGAAGCAGGGAACCAGACTGAGCATGGGGCCACCTCTTCTCCCATTTCCCAGCCTCAGCTACCAGCATGTACAGTACAGTTGGCACGCTGCTCACTCTGTGTGACACTGGTCCACAGATGCTGCTGTTCTCCACTGTCATGTTACCTGGAAGAGTTTCTGGGCCTCAGGGACTTTGTTTCTCAGCTGCCTGGCGGAGCTGCTGAAGGCACGGCTGGCCAGAAGTGGAACTTTCTGGAAACACAAATTAGAAATTTGAAAGATCTGGAAAACTGAAGTGCAGCTGGAGAAGAGAGGAGAAGGAAGGAAAGTCAGCAGTGAAACCCCCTCAAACTGTGAAGAAATCAGTGTTTCCAGTCAGAGGTCTCTGTCCCACTGTGGTGCCACCAACCAACTCCTGATCTTCACGTACCAGCAGTGGATGGAAACTTGGATTAATTAGTACTTTGTTTGACGTTCTGCCCAGAGTTGTGCCACATCTGGAAGCAGACGGTGGAGATTTTAAAGCCAAACTGTCTGATGGATGACTGCTGGCACCGCAGCTGGAACATGACCGTCGCCTCCTAATGGAAGATACACAGCTCAACTGTCTGATGGATGACTGCTGGCACCACAGCTGGAACGCGACCGTGGCCTCCTAATAGAAGATACACAGCTTCTTGTCATCATTACTACTCACATCTCTTCCCCTACATGTTCCCACACATTTCTTTGTCAGTTAAAATTTGGTCAGCACCACCCTCAACTGATTTCCCGTCGAACCACTCGGATGCTTCCGCCTCTTTTCCTTGAGAAGGATTTATGGAAGCGATGGAAACATTTTCAAATGCTTTTGTTCTCGTCCATGTTGCTGCACGTTTCCACAGGTTCTCCACATACTGTTACCTTCCCAAACACCAGACGGTTCAGAGAGCAGCTTTAGCTGTAAGAGCACCACGTTAAAGTCAGGATGTTTGTTCCTGCTTCCTGCTGCCCCTCAGTTAATACGAACTCTTCTTCAGCTTTAGGCTACCTGATAAATGTCTGCCTTGAGGTTTCCACAGTAACTCACAGTGTCACACCATCAGTGTAGCATTAGATTTGTGTCGCACTCTGAAGACACGTGCTCCTCTTTAACAAAAACACGAGCTTCAGGCCGAGTTTAATTCCAGCTGAAATACCCATGAATGAAACTTGAAACTTCACACTAAAGCTCTTCTAGTTCTCTCTTTGTTAGCTTTGACTGTGAAACCTAACACCTAAAAAAGAGAAGTTACTACTAAAACACAGAAAAACACAACCTTCCTTTCGTTGTGCTGGTGTCACAGATGGTTCCTGTGTAGGAGGCGGGTTTGTTTTCTCCATCAGTCATTTCACTGTTACAATGACCATCATAATAGTAACGGTGAGAAATGTACCTTCTGCTGCATAATCCATCATTTTACATTTCAAGTGCCTTTTTCTGACTTGGTGTAGTTTGTCTCACACCCACGTGCACAATGACCCAGCGTACAGTGCCTTACCTTTAACTGTTAAAACTGAAAAATACTGTAAAAGCTTTAAAGGCTGTTTTTATATCGGGAAGCATTATTTTGAGGAACTAATAGTCACAGTGAGACTATAATCCACTGTTACTTTCCTTTTAACAGCAGTTTATTCACCATTTCACCAACACGTGCACTGTCCTGTGTTGCAGTTTGTTGATTTGGCACCTGTGATGGCACAGTAGTGATACTGAGAGAGCACATGTGAAAGAGGAAGGGAGAGTGCGTCTGGGAGACCAGTTCCAGGTGGCCTCGCTCAGTCGTTTTAGTACTTTTCTTTTTTGAACGTGATTTTCTCTCTCGGTTCCTTTTCAGGACGTCACCATTTGGCTCAAACACAGGTCATCCTGACACTTGACGCTCCGCCGCCGTGCGCCAGCGGTGAGTGCCATCACTATGTCATGATCGCGCACACACACTGACAGAAGCACCACCGTTATTTTTCACATCTAGATGATAATTACAGGGCTGTTAAAACAGTCCCAGACTTCACTACCAGTGAGGAGCTGCTCCGCTACCATCTGCTGACAGCAGTCACTCACTGGCTGACTGATTCTAAACCTGTTAGGGACATCTTCCTTCGGACTGGACACTTACTGTGTGACCTCAGTTCTGTTTAAGCACTGAACACCAGCAGACATCGGTCTGTGTAAGTAGGAGCTGTAGGACCCGAACACAAACGGACAGCTGAGCATCACAAACCCGTTGGACACCTTTTCATTGTTAGAGCTTAATTAATTGTGTCCACTGTTATTTGGAAAGTCTAGTTTTGGCCGTAGGATATTTTTATTTTATCCCATTCAGGTGTGTGTGGAGCCAACAGGAAGACAGCCGCTGGTCTAGCAGGAGACTCTGCTCGAAGCAAGTGCGCGTGTTCTGTGGTCCAAAGATGCAGAAGTGTGCAAAGCATCCAGGTCATTTTATAGCTGGAATCCACAAGCATGGAGACTTTTTGTGCCACTGAGCAACTTTCACTGGAATAAGTAGGCGCCCCCTGCCAGTGCCACATCCAGCTCTGCTTAACGCACCCACGGGACGCATCAGAACACATTAGTGTTTGCTACATAGGATGTGTGGTCAGACCCAGACCACCTCAGTAAGTGGTCTCAGCGATCACAGTCCGTCTTGGTGGGTGTTTACACTCGTATCTAGTGCTGTCCAGCTGTGATCCGATCACCCAGAACTCAGTTTCACACCATCTGAGCCGAGTTTTAGAGCATGTGTGACAGTGATGACATCTGTGTTGGCACTAATACAGGCCACTCAGCTCATTTAAAAGGAGCTCGCTAACAATTTTCTATGAAAAAGTAACACAACAGGTGTTTAGTTCAACAGGGTTCAGGTTGTTTACCTGTGTGCCTACAAGCTTGGTACTAGTTGCAGTAACAGGTGTTTTTCCAGTTCTTTCCATTTTGCCAGCACTGCACCGATGCAGCAGCGTTGTGTTTTTGGTCGTAGGGTGTTGTGTGCCTGGAGGTTTTACATAAACAAACCTTCAGGCACACAACACTGTTCTGGGAAGATTAACCTTCCTGCTTGTCAACAACAAGGGTATTTTCCTCTGACTGTGACCTTTTGACACACAGCAGCTGTGTGTCTCTTTAAGAAAGTGCATGAGTTTTGCACTGTCTGCTGAGGACGCACTGGGTAGCTGCAGCCAATCAGAGCCTCTGAACCTGACTCCTGATCCAATCAGGAGGTGGAGAAGTGAACGACACAGGGGTAAACTGGGCCCAGCTGCCTGCTGTGGTTTCCACTGCGGAGTCTGTTTGCATAAAGTCAGCTGATGTCAGTCTTTCTGTTTCAGCAGCATGAACACGTTGTTGTACACACATGACAACAAACGCACTATTTGCCAAAACCACACAGAGGATCCAGGAAGTGAACTCTGGTCTCTGGTGTTGTATATAAACTGACTCTAATGATTAATTATGGAAAAGCACTCACTGTTCACAGTGCTCTGCTGAAGAGTCATTTAAAAAGCAGCTGGTTGAACGCCGGACTGCGTTGGCGGTTTTGTGTGTACAAATACAACATATTCCATCTCGTACCTTGTCATGTGACCTGTGTGCCAGATATGGACGTGGAAAGTAACAGCAGGTAAAGGCAGTGGAGTGGCATATCGTGTTTCTCCCTGGTATGTGCTGGAGTGCAGTGTGGCTGTTTCTGTGCTGCAGGGTTTGACAGTGAAAACAGAGGGTGACCCTGCAGCAGGCCATGATCCTGGAGCTACAGACCAGATCTGTACGACTTACAAATGCCACGCTGAGGCTCGACGGGCGCACACACGAGCAGAACACCAGCTTGTGACAGTCAAAGTGAAAGCTGAACATATCTGTCACAGTACGAAGGTCAGGCCTGGCTGGGTCACGCTTCCCCGACGCAAATCGAGCAAAGCACTGCAGCCTTTCTCCACCTGCTGCGATCGTTTTTCACTGCAGTGCTTCCAGAACAACAAACTGAAGAGCAGAGAGGAAGGTTAGTGAAAAATAAGAGCTGTAGTTACCAGTAGATGATTCATGTCTGTGTCGAGCTGTGCTGCCTCGCTTCACCCTCACAAGGACGTTTGTGTGCTCACACACACTCCCACACACACAGTAGCAGAATTTTTGAACCTCTGCCAAACTACGATCTGTCGCAGGGGCCAAACTGTGCACGAAGGAAACAGACACACTTGCTGTGCATGACTCGTATAAAACTGTGTGCATAGGTTCCCTAAAGCCACAGTTTGGCACATCTGACTTGTGTATCCCTGAGGTGTTTTGGTGGACTGACTGTACAAAACCCAGCGTCCTGTAAAGTGCTGCTGTGTGGAGAAGAAGGAAACACAGGCAGGTTGGAGAGCAAGGGCAGGTTCTCCTCAGCATGATGAAACGCACAGGAGACCAGTTGTGATTGGTTTTCTTGGAGTATGACAGTTATGTTTTGAGCCTCAAACCTTTTTATCCTGGTTTCAGGGACCAGGACCAGGGGCTTCTGAGGACCCTGGTCTCTGGAGTACTCCTGGAAACACCTGATCCAGTTTGGTGTTATGACAATTACAGAGTCGGAGGCCAAAGTATATTTACTCCAGTACTGTGTTTGGGCACATTTGGTGCTTTAAGTACAATTTTCTACTAAGAGTTGGATATGTTTAGTTACATAGGTTTGAATTTTAACAGAAAACCTTAATGTAGTACTGCTGCGTGTATTAAAGTAACATGTAGTTCTTCTGTTGATACAAGCGACAGATGTGTAAACATCCTGTCCACACTATGATAAAAGCTCTGTCCACAGAAACATGGTGATGATGTCGACTTGACACTGAATTTGAAATGAAACAGTGACTCATCAGTGTGTTTACCCCACATCACTCAGCAAACCAAAGCAACGCCTAGCCTTCTTCATCAGCTGTGGCTCTCAGCTCCGAGCTCATCGGTTTCCACTGAAGATGTAAATCTTTAAAAACTCCACACAGGTCATTTTATTCTTAAAGGAGACTTGTTAGTTTCCTAAAACAGCTTCTCACTGTAGTTTCCATCAAACAGGAATAAACAGTGCATTTGCTGGGGACTATTTTCAGTGGCGGATGAATCCGTATTTGGTCTTTGCGGCAGCAGGATGGTGTACACAGCCTTGTACTCGAGAAAAAGTACCACTACTAGTTTCAGAATACCACATTACCAGTCCTGTATTCAAAAAGCACAGAAGCACTATCATCAAAATGTATTTAAAGAATCAAAGTACTTGTTCTGTAGTAAAATGTGGCTTGTGTCTGTGTATCATTGACTTTGTTAATGTGTTAATACTGATGCAGTGTTGCATTAGCACCATGTTGTAGCTGCTCAAGACAGAGCTCGTTCTGACTACTACAGTCAGTCCGGTGGTTCCCAAAGGTAAAACAGCCTCATCTTTGCTTCTGCTGTGAGGGTCTAGATAATTACAGATGCTGAAATGAAACCACATGAGAAGTTCAGTCGCTCTGTAGTGCAACTAACGCACCTGTGACACCCAGCCCCGGCTTCTGTGTGGCCCAGAACCAGTCCATTAGATGTCGGTGCTGATCCGGGTCATCCAGACCCGTGAGTCGGTTTTGTTGTGGCTTTTTTTTTCACTGTTGTGGGGGGAAGCCGAGCTTAACTTGGTTTTGTATATACACCTAACTGAAGCACACCACCAGGGTAACAAGCTGTACACAGGCTTCTGACTCGGGATGCACTGGTCATGTGACTGTGTGACCACTTTGTCACACTCCACACCTGCCAGGTGAAAGGAAGTGAGGTTTGCCTCCCACAGAGAGCGATTCATGAACATGCAGCCAGATTTTCTGCAGAAACCATTAAATGTGTGTCTCACTTCTCGTTTCCTGACTGAGGCAGAGTGAAGCTCGAGGTGCAGCAGCAGCCGCTCTCTGGTAAGTTTCTCACATCTGTCCTGCAGCAGATAGTTGAGATGGTCACTGTCGTGTAATTAGTTCATCTGTTTATGTTAAACACACAACGTGAGATACAGTGATTTTATTTTCTACAGGAGTTGTTGGTTCTTTTGTGCTACTGACTTCTCTTTCCTGCCAAGAAAATCGGCTGTATGCTGAGATCTTTTTAAATGTAAAGGTTTTACTGTGTGTACCTTAACTTTTAGGCATTATTCTAGCATAAACATAAAATGATATGAATATAGACCATTATTATTAAACACTAAAAGCACCTGCTAAGGTTCGGATGCTTTTTGATTGTAGTTTCTGCGTTTACTGAAATAAAAGTACCAGTACCACAAAGTAAATACACACTGTTACAAGTAGAAGTCCTCCCTTTTAAATTCTCTTTACATAAAGGTATTGTCAGCATTGTGCAGCTTCAGTATCAGTAGTGAAAGTACTCAGATGGCAGTAAAATGATGTCTGAGTCTGGTCTTCAAACTAGGGGTCAGGCCCTTCCAAAGGGTCACCAGATAAGACAAGTGGTCGTCACATGATCAGTAGGAAAAGAAAAGTCACGTTTCATGTTAAGAACTTTTAGTTTTTTCAAGAAATATTGGATAATTTGAACAATGCAGCCAAAAGTCTTTTATTCTAGTTGTAGTTTGAGGGAAAACACCTCCGACCTCTCGAGACTTCCTCACCTTACATCATGAATCATGTTTTCACAGTGAAAACTCACTGCAGCCGTCATAAGGTGGACGAGTACAAGCACCCAAAACTGTCCCACCACTGTCTCTGGTTGATGCTCATGGTTTCTTTGCTCCCTGTTGATCTCTGATCAGTGCAGTTTGGATCGCTGAGGCAGAGATGTTGTTGCTCAGTCTGCTCCTGCTCGGGCTGCCTGACATCACCACCACACAGGAGGGACACATGAAGGACTACAAATATGGCTACCAGGGCTCAGAGCTGTATGACAAAAAGCCCTTCTGCTCCTGGACTTGCCTCCTGTTCACCCTGCAGTGGCCCGGAGGGTTCTGTCAGGTGAGCTGCAGCATCCTCAGCCTCACAAAGGGGTGTGTTCAGCATCTCTCCTCCTCTGTGTCTCCTCTAAGTAACAGAACAAGGAGAAGGAAAGACAGACAGGGAAGAGAAGGGTGCAGGACTGAAGGAAAGAAGAGGGTAAGGAGTGAGAGGTACAGCTGAAAAGGACGGTAGTGAAGAAAATGAGAAAGTAAAAAATAGGCTGGAGGTGAGGAAATAAATTGATAAGTATGATAGGAAAAGGGAGAGCAACGAAGGGAGGAGGTATGTAAGGAAATGAAGGAATGAAAGAAAAAGAGGATGTAGGGAACAAAACGAGGAGGGGAGGGAGATAGGAAAGAAACCATTAGGTATGAAAGGATAGGAGGCAAGAGAGGAAAACAGGAGATAGTAAAGGAAAGGGCAAGGGAAAAAGGAAGGATATTAGGAGGCAGTGAAAATCAAACGGGATAAGAAAGTAAATCAGGAGTTAGGCATTGAAATGTAGAGAAAGGGTAAAGGTTTGGAGAGAGGTAGAGATAAGTGGGAAAATAGGGAGGTAAGGGAGGTGGTAAGGAGGGAAGTTAGGATGTAGTGAGGGTAAGAAGATGAGAAGGAAGGAAGAGAAGATATTGTGAAATAAAGGAGGGGTTATGGAAGAACATTAGGTAGGGAAGGAAAGGAGAAGGAAAGAAAGAAAAACAAGATAGTGAAGGGTAGAGTAGAGGCCACGGAGCAAAGGAGGAAGTAAGGAAGGAAATTAAGAGGTAAGGGAGGGAAAAAAGGTTGTGAAAGAGACAAAAAGGGGGTGGGGAGGAAAAAAATGTTAAGAAGAAGAGTAAGATAAAGGGAAGGAGGATGTGGTAATGGCAAGAAGGAGGTAAAGAGGGAAAGTAGAGGTAGAAAAGGAAACCGGCTGTTAGTGAAGCAAGCTCCTAACGCACTGCAGTGCCGCTTCCTGGATGCTGAGTCAGTTTGGCTTTGATTCTCATCCAGAAACTCTACGACCCCGACAGCCTGAAGTGAACCTGCTCTGAGGAGGCACAGAGAGCTTTCAGTTTGGCCTCCCGCTGTAATGACAAGCAGCAGCACATGGGGATAAAACTGATTTTTCTTGGCTTAGTCTGCCATGTTTTCTGCAGAGTTCCAGTCCAGAGTCAGTCCAGAAGAAATTCTTCGGAAACAGAAAGAGACGCCAGGAAACTGTGCAGTTTATCACAAGACACCTCCCCCAAGAAAAACAAGTAGAAAAGAAATAAATTTAGATTTGGTCAGTAGTGGAACAAAGAGGGAGGTTGTGAAGGAAAGAGGAGGTAAGAAATGTTGGGGAAGGAAGGGAAGGGGTAATGAAAGAACTGAGGATGTAAGGAAGGAAACGAGGTAGAGAAGAAAAGAGGGAAGTGTGAACAGTGGAGGTACTGAAGGAAAGAAAGGGATAAAAAAGGCATTATGGTGGACAAGGAAAGGACAAAGGACAAAAGGGCACATAGCGAGTGTGTGGAGGAGACAAAGAAATAGACAAGGAGACTGGGAAGCAAGGAAGGAAATGTGTGGTAGGGAAGGAAGGACCTGGGGAAATGCTATATCTAAGAAATACAAGTGGGGGATTAACCAAGTGAAAGACATTATGACATCTCTGGTCTTACTCGCTGGTCTCTCAGTAATAACTCTGCACCAACCAGG